TCTTCCTTCCTGATGTCCCAAGATTCCTTTTTATATTGTGTACTTAGTGTTTAGAGAACTTCCTTTGACTATTCAGTTAGGATAGCTTGCTTGTAATAAATTCTTTTAATCTTCTGTTGTTTAGATTGCAGAATGTCTGTTATTCTTAAAGTTCAGTTTCTTTCCCCATCCTCTCCATTCTATTGTTGAGCCCAGCCAATGGACTTTAAATTTCACAGTTCTATAATTTTCCATTGATTCTTCTTTATATCTTCTATCTCTTTGCTGAGTCGTCGTATTTCTTTCCAGAAACTTTCTATTACTTTGCTGAGATTGTCTATATTTTCATTTGTTTCAAATTCCTAATTGCTTGTTAAAACATTTTTATGATGGCTACTTTAAAAGTTCTTGTCAGATAATTAACATGTGTGTCATCATGGTATTGATGTCTTGTTGATGGTCTTTTCTCATTCATGTTGAGATCTTTCTGGTTCTTGGTATGATAAATGCCTTTCAACTGAAGCCTGTATACATTTGGGTGTTATGAGTGAGTCTTGTTCTTACTTATATCTTCTGTTACTGAAGGCCTTCTCTGACACTGCCACTGCAGGGGAAGACGAGCGCTGCCCCATTAGTGCCAGGATGGGGTCTAAGTCCAGGTTTTCCACTTGGCCTCCATTGAAATATCAATGCGAGGAAAGGACAACTTGTTACTACTACACAGGAGTAGGAATTTAGGCTCCTCACTAGGCCTCTGCTGATACCACTCTGGATGGTATCTCATCACTGAGATGTCTCATCACTGTTCCCCACATGGTCTCCTTTCCACTGACACGATGGTGTGGTAGCCTCATTACCACTGATTGGTGGTGGGAGTCCTATTTCCACCAGGCTCCTCTGACACTACTCTAGTGCTAAATGGGCATGGAAGTTCAGGTACTTCATTGGGTGTCTGCTGACAGCACAGGGGGTGGGGGACATTGCCTCATTACCACCAGGTGTGGAACGAAGTCCAGTTTCCCACGTGGCCTTCTTGAGAGCACTGCATGGGGTGGAGGGAGGGGTTATCAGCTGCCCTGTCACAGACCAGCAAAGGCAGAAGTCTAGGCTCTCCATGGAACTTTAGCTGGCAGGGGTAGGAGAGATGCTGCAACTTTTTCTGTGGTGTTTTGCTGGACTAGAGAGGTTATTATCTAACATTTTCTGTGTTTTTATGCTGTCCATTTCCAGGTGCTTTGGCTAGAGAGAGCAGGCTTTTGTGGGAACATTCTTAGACCACACCCATTGGTGTTCTTAGGTTGTGAGCTTCCACATTACCCAATCTGGGCGATATGAGGCAAAAACAAAACCCAAGTGACTCATGGCCATGTCATTTCTCAGGTCCTAAGGTCACTAGACATTCTGGTCTGCCTTCTTCCCCCCAAAATTTCAGAGTCTTATTATGTTAATTTTATATATAATGTCCAGGGTTTTTACTTATAGTCAGTACAGGAATAATATATGCATATTAAAATCCACCAAATCCATGTGGATGTGTACCTATGTACTTTCCTTCTTTGCTGAAATGAACAAAAAAATGTTGAAATGAGGAACAGAACTAGGGTTGAGCATAGGTAAAGGGTAGAACTGTTTTTCATTCTATACTTTCTCCATGGTTTAAAATGTTTACCATGTACATGAATGCTTATATTTAAAATTTTTAAGAACACTTAAAGCAGTAGATACTTTTCAGTGCTTACCCTACATGACATATCTTGGGAAATTAAAATGACTGTCCACTGCTTTCCTCCTAAACCTCTCTCCTTTCCTGAAGTCTATGGCTCCCTTATATTTCGGTTCTCCTGTCACTGACCATTCTTTCTCAATCTGTTGTGTGTTCTCTTCTACTGGCCCTTCAAACACTGGCACTCCCTAGACTCCAATCCTTGCTCTAACATTTATTTTCTTGCTCCAAGTATTCCCTAGGCAAGACTATTCACTCATATGGTTTTAACCACCACCTCTATGCTATCGAAGGCCAACTCGACTTCTCTAATGCTGTTCTCTTCTCTGACCTCAGCTGTCTCATAGCCATATGTATCTTCATTTGGCCCAAGCACCTGTCCTCCTCTTTACTTTCAAATATGCCCCCCGCCAGCCTTACCCATCTCAGTAAATAGGAACTTCATCATTCCAGTTGTTCAGACAAAAAACCTTGAAGTTACCCATGATTCCTCTCTTTCTCCCATATTCCACATATAATTTGTCAGCAAATCTGTTGGCTCTACTTCCAAAATATATTTAGAACCTGACCACTTTTCACCGTCTATTTCCATCCACTATTTCCGTCCTTATCCAAGGTACAACCATTTCTTGACTGCACTATGGAAACAGCAGTTACATGGAATTAATTTCCTTGCTTCTACCCTTGTTTCCCTACAGCGATTCTCCACAGAGTATGCAGAATAGTCCTGTTAGACATAAGACAAATAATGTCATTTTTCTGGTCAAAAACCTCTTTCTATCTTACTCAGGGGGCAAAGTCAAAATCCATCCAGTGGATTCTAATGCCCTGTAAGATCCTCTCTGAAGCCATGTTCTTCTATTTCTTCTTTTGCTTAATCTGTTCTAGCCAATCTGGCCTTGTTGTACCCTGAACATGACAGCACGTTTCTGCCTCAGGGATTCTGCATTTCCCATTTCCTCAGCCTAGAATGCTTTCCCCCCAGATACCTGAATGAATCATGCTTTTATTACCCATGGGTCTGTGCTCAAAAGCCATCTTCTCAATGAGGCCTTCTTGGCTACTATATTTAAAATTGCAAATTTACTTCCCAACCCTTCCTATTCCCCTTATCTGCTTTATTGTTTTCTTGATTCTCATTACCATCTAACATACTATATATATATTTTGAACACTGTTTTTCTACTTCTTTAGAATATAAACTCCATGAGGGCTGTATCTCCAGTACCTAAAACAGTACCTGGCAAATAGTAGGTACTCCAATACATATTTGTTGAATCACTCAATAAGTCAGTCAATCAATCAATAATATCTGGGTTTTAGATTAAGAGTCAGGAAATTACAGCCAACATGCCTGCTGCCTGTTTTGTAAAGAGAGCTTTACTGAAATATGCATTTGCTTACGTGTTGTCTATGGCTTCTTTCCCAATACAAAGGTGGAGGTGAGTAGTTGTGACAGAGATCCACAACCTACAAAGCCTAACATATTTACTATATGGTCCCTTAGGAAAAAGTCAGCCAAATCCTGCTTTAGATTCACGGTCAAGTACTTCCTAGATATCGCTTGCTCTCTATATCTCTTTCAGGAATCTCAAGTCTAGATGACCCCAAACTGAGCTTGTCTTCATCTTCCTTAAACTTTCCCATTCTGTATTTTTTTTATGGATGAAAGACTGGGCATATAGGTGCACCCTCCCCCCACCAAAAAAAAAAGAAGGCCCTATACTTCCCTGCCTCTCTTATAACTGGATGTGACCATGAGATGAAATTCTGACAAATAGTATGTCAGCGAAAGTGACATGTGTCACTTTCAGGTCAAGACCTTAAAGGACAGGGTTGTGTCCTCCCTCCACTTCCCTTTCTTCCATCCCTCTCAATTGCTATAATGCACAGGATATTTGGTCATGCACATGAAATAGCACCTTAGGGACGGCAGAGCAACAAGAAAGAAGGAACCTGGGTTCATGCCCCTCTCAAGTCACCATACCAGCCCTGGACCTCCTTGTTGGACTATTCCACAACCAAGAAAGAAATGGCTCCTGTGTTGCAGCAACCAGGTTTGTACGTAGAGGCTTAGAAGCCTAACCTGCATCCTACCTAATGCATCTAGTAAGTGGCAGAGCTTGGATTTGAGCTGTGGATTTCACCTGGACTATCCCACGAGCCCCGTCCCCTTGCAGGAAAGTTTTATTGAATTATGCTCTGTTTGGATGGCAATGGCTGCTAGAGAGCTTCAGAGTGAAATGTAGGACCAACTCTAGCAAGTGTATAGGACTTGTGAATACATATCTTGTTGTATAGCTTCATTCCTCCATTCATTTTCTGTCTCTGTCCTTATTTATCCCTTTTCCTTTCTTTTCTTTTTCTTTTTTTTTTTAATTGGGGAATTGGAGAAGGGGACCAGCCAAGTTGTTGTTCTTCAGTCTTAGTTGTGGAGGGTGCCTGTCTCCATCTGGCTGCCCGTTGGCAGCTCGTGGCCTCTAAGCTCAAGGTGCTGTGTTCAATCTTAGTTGCGGGTGGGCGTAGCCACCATCCCATGCAGGAGTCAAACCAGCAGCCTTCTTGTTAAGCATGCACGCTCTACCCACTGAGCCATCTGGGTGGCAGCTCAGCTCAAGGTGCCGAGTTCAGTCTTAGTTGCGGGCGGGCATAGCCCACCATCAAACAGGCAGTCTTACTGTTAGGAGCACGTGCTCTCACCAGCTGAGTCATCCTGCCACCTGTTGGCAGCTCAGCGGCAGCTGAGCTTGGGCACAGCATCACTGGCCCATTTGGGAATCGAACCGGTGGCCCTGTTGCTCAGAGCTTGCGCTCTTAAGCTAACTGTTAACCAACTGAACCACTCGACCGGCCCCTATCCCTTTTTCATTTGACCTAACTGAAATGCACACTACCTTGTATTTTACATAGCATATAAAATATACCACCTTGAATTCTTTCAGAATGGGATGGGGTTTAAATAAGTATAGGTATTGCTTTCTTTATGGTTTCATTGTACATACACCAGTCTTACAGCTATAATTTTCCTTTGTTTAGATGGCTGTCTCCATATTACACTGTTAACGCCTTAAAACTACATGCAGTTACTTATTCTTCTTCTGTACCATCTAGCATGGAGCCTGATAATAAGAGTTACATAACCAAGCAACAATTGCTGAATGAATGAATTTCACAAGGTCAGAAATGCCATTAAATGCTGTGGTGCCACAAAGGCATTTCCTTCCATTATCAAGTTGAGGCAGCTAGGGAAAGGTGTTACAGGTTTGGAGAAGTGACGGTGAGGACAGGAAGTACATACCTTGACAAAGTGCTCAATTAGGATTTCTACCACGATGTTCTGGAATTTGATGTTCATCATGGCAGCTACAGTGTCTTCCTGAGCTCTCATCAGCGTGGGACCAAAGATCACCCCCATGTTGGAGGGGGTCATAAGATTCACTTTGCTGTGCTCACACACACTGCCGGAAGAGAAAAAACAAACGATGAATACAATTTTCTCCAAGACCCCCTTGTAACCAAGACTGTTAGTTGATATGGGGGGTAAGAGAAAATAAAAAGTAGAAAGGGGAGGCACAAAGTAGAAAGAAAACCTTACAAAGGAAACAACTAGCAAAGAATACAAGACTGTCTATAATTAGGGGCCAAAAGGGACAGCTAACTTAGTAGCACGGTAGGAGCTAGAAGATGTGGGGTGGGGGGCTATGTTAGCAAGTCCTCGGAAAGACAGGTGGGAAGAAGATGGCAATCCAGGCTGGAGGTACAACACGTATAAAGAAGAACAAAGTACCCAGAGCAAGTGCCTACCAGTCTCAGCAGTTAGGAGTCCAGCCCCTTCCCTACCGCTAGGTGGAGAAGCACATAACCCAAAGAGCTGAAAGGGATTCTTAAAGTTATCCCTTCATCGGTGATGGAAGGAGAGCTGACTCGGGGTGGTGAGCACACAACGTGATATACAGATGATGCATTACAGAAACCTATGTACAGGTTCAGGTACACCTGAAACCTATGTCACTTTACTAACCATTGTCACCCAATTAACTTTAATTTTTTAAAAAGTGATCCCTTTATCAGTGTCCTCATTTTACAGATGAAGAAAACAAGAGTTCCAAAGAAAGAAAGGAAGAAAGGGATGTGCCTGAAGTTACAATCAGCCTGGTTAGATCAGGGCCTATAATTCCACATTTCCCGATCCCTCGTCACTCTCCTTGCTTAAATTCCCTTTAGCGGCTTCCTTTTATTTACAGGGCAGGAGACACTCTCATCAAGGTAGTAATTAAGGCCTTCCATAACTTGATGCCGATTTCTAATCCCAGTGCACAGGTTGGGCTCTGAAGCTGACCTGGGTGGCTCACTAGCACGCAACAGTGAGTCTTAGTAACCTAACTAAACTCTCTGGGCTTCAGTTTTCCCACTTGCAAAAATAATATCCACCTCAGAGGGTTCTTGAATAAATAGAGCTAAATGACTTTAACATGGTATCCTTGAAATAATCCATCAGAAGTGTCTGCTGTTATCACCTCTCCAGGGGTCTCCATGTAGGCACGAGTGTCAATCTCTGGCACTCGTGATATACTACACTGCTTAGATTTTCGGGCTACACTATGATGTTTCAAACCTCTCTATCTTGGCTCATGCCATTCCCCCTGCTTAGAATGTCTCCCTCCTCCAAGATCTAAATAATGTGCGTTTATCCTTTGAGATTCGCTTTAACAGACATCCCCTTCAGGGCTATTCCCGCCCACTGTCTTCATCTGGATTGACACCACTGTCAAGCAGAATATACTGCAATCTTCTGTGTCTTATGTGCCTCTCCTACTAGGTGGTGAACAGCCCCGAGTATGTGTGCCTTGCACACAGGCGGTACCGATTAATTATTTTCAATGCAGCTGGGTGCCTCAAGTGCTCTTTCAAATAGTGGCGAGGCAGCCAAGTAAAAGGTGTATAGCGCTCTGGTCAGTTTGACTGTGGGGGTGGGGAGGGAAGCGGATGCTACAGCCAATGACAAACACTTATTTTCAAAACCCACCCAGGCCCAAGGTCCCAGAACAACTGGCACCATTCTCTTGTCATTTAGTGGGTAATTGACAGGGATAGAATCTTTAGCCAACTCCTAATGAAGTCTATTAAGCCTGTCACAAAGGCTAGGTGCCATTCAGATGATAATGAACAACCACTCGCAGCCTTTGGTATTGTTGGGCCGTGGATGGGTCCCTTTAAACAGTTGAAATACTTCTGCAATTAACCCTATTCTTTAGCGACAGAATTTCTTTTCAGATGTTAAACTGTAAAAGCAACTCCATGCTGCCACCAAGCGATCCCGAGTGGCTCAACAACTAGGAACAACAGCTTTTTGAGAGCTCTGAAAGGAAACGACTTTGGTTGAATGCGCCAGAGCTCACTTAATCCTCACAACTCCAAAAGGCAGACTGGTGTATTTTATCTCGAAAGCCTACATTTACAGAGGGTAAAGCAACTTAGTTATGCTCAGACGGTTTGTGAATAGATGGCAATCCAGGGGTTCCAACGAGCTGTGAGGCTCCAGGTCTCCCAGTCTTTCCATTGCATCCCACTGCCTGTTTGTCTCATTCGTCTCAAGAAATAGAAGTCCCTGGGAGGACCCCGTTAAGCTAAAGCCGCCTTCTATTTCTCCGAGGGAGGTTGCCTGTATCCTATTTGGGACATTCTTTTCCTTCTTGACCTTATGAGATCTGGAAGGTAACCCATGCTTTCGGGAGATGTCTCTGCATTTGACATGTCTTTTACTATACATTTTCAAAACCATTAAGAGGCGTAAGTCACACTCCAAATTGTAATTAATAAGATGACGGAAACCCCACAAAAGGGAAGGGTGAGTAGAGAATTAGGTAGGAGTTTGTCATGTGATTTGACAGCAAAGAAATCTTAAATTCTCTAGACCACATAGATTAGAGAAAATAGGTCCAATTTCTTGAACATCAAAATTTAAAACAACGGAGGGCCGGCCGAGTAGCTCAGTTGGTTAAGAGCTCGCTTAAGAGTTTGAGCTCTGAGCAACAGCGGTTCGAGTCCAGCCCGAGCTGAGCAGCCGCTGAGCTACCAACAGGTAGCAGGATGGTTCAGCTAAAAAAAAAAAATTAAAACAACGGAATGGGTATCAGAGGGAGGTGGTAAAAAGCGTCCAGTTTAGGAAAAAATAATTTTGATTCAATGGTTTAGGTCAGGGGTCATAAATTAAAATGTGTATAGGTAGAACTACCTTATGATCCAGCGATCCCACTTGTGGGTCTGTATAAAAAGGGAATTAAATCAGGATCTCAAAGATATAGATATGGGTACACCCATGTTCATTGCAGCATTACTCACACTAGCCAAGATGTGGCAACAACATAAGTGTCCACAGACAGACAAATATATAAATATATACACACAATGACATATTAATCAGCCTTCAAAATGAAGAAAATCCTGCCATTTTCAATAACATGGATGAAACTGGAGGACGTTATGCTAAGTGAAACCAGCCAGACACAAAAAGACAAACGCTGCAAGATTGTACTCATATGTAGAATCCAAAATAGTCACACTCTCAGAAGCAGAGAATAGGGTGGCGGTTGTGGGGGGCTGAGGGGCAGGAGGGACATAGGGAGGTGCTGGTCAAGAGATCCAAAGTTGCAGTTATGTAAGTTGAATATCTAATTCTGGAGATCTAATGTACAGCAATGTTAATACAGTTAACAATACTGCATGGTACACTTGAAATTTGCTAAGAGGATAGATCTGAATTGTTTTCATCACAAAAAAAAAGAAGGAAAGAAAGAAAATTGTAACTATGTGAGGTGACAGAGGTATGACTTAGCTTCATTGCAGCAATTATTTCACAGTGTATATGTACACCCAAACATCAAGTCGTATATGTTAAATGTATACAACTTTTAATTGTCAATTATACCTCAATATACATAGAAACAATAAAAACTAAATAAGTTCATTAAAATTGGTTCTAGCACTAATATGTTGTGTAACTTTGGGCCTCTCTTTTTCCATTCCTAGGAATACGTTCCCCATCTGTAAAAGGAGAAGGTTTTTAGGTGATCTAACCGGCCTTCCAGCTCTGCCATTCAATGAATCTAAGAAAGGCCTTGTCTTGAAAATAATGGGGAAAAAGGATAGCCACATATTACCATATTTCCCCATGTATAAGACGCTCCCATGTATAAGACGCACCTTAATTTTGGGGCCCGAAATGTGAAAAAAAATGTATTACATAGTTATTGAACTCAAGTTTTATTCATCATAAAATTCATACAATTCCTCATCACTTGCAGGAAATGCAAGTAAAAATAAATCTACAACCACTGTATAAGATGCACCCAGTTTTTAGACCCCAAATTTTTTTTAAAAGGGTGCGTCTTATACATGGGGAAATACGGTATATGTCTACTGTTGGAAGAACACAGAACCACCTATTAAGTATACTTGCCTCCCCACTACTCTGTACATAAAAAAAAACAAAACAAAGAAACCAAAAAGAAAAAAAAAACATAAAATATTCCAAAGCAAAAAAAAAAAAAAAAAGATGACCCTTAGGCCAAATCCACCCTACCACCTGCTTTTATAAATAAAGTTTTACTGGAGCACAACTACATCCATCGTTCACATACTAATAATGGCTGCTTTGTACTACAAAGGAAGAACTGAGTAGCCATGACAGTGACACAGTCCATATAGCTCACAACACCTAAAATATGTACTATCTAACCATTTATGTTTTGCTGACCTCTGCTAGAGATTAAAGAGGCTTAAAAAACATTTCAACTGGTTGCTATGTGTGGACGTTATTTGGATCCTGATTCAAAGAAAAAAACATGACATATTTGAGACTACTAAAAATTTGAGAATATCTGATAGTAAGTAATTATTTATGTTTAGACATGATAATTGTATTGTGTTTAGGTGCACAAACAATTTTCAGTTTTTCAATATACATACTGAAATATCTACGGATGAAATAAATATAGTGATGCTTTGGATTTGCTTGAAAATAATATGGGAGGAAGAGAAATGGTTGAGCATACAGATGAAACAGGACTGGCCATATGTTGATAACTGTTAAAGCTAGGTGATGGGCACAGGAGAGTTCTTAGACTATTCCTTCTATTTCTGTATATAGTTGAAACCTTTCATAGTAAAACATTTTTTAAAGACAAGATACTAATGGACGGGGAGAGTGTGTCTGTCACAAAGTGAGCGGTCCCTATCCCTGAGGATGCTGCTCTTAAGGAGAGACAGCGTTGGTTTCTCCTACTAGTGTGATATTATCTGTAATTTACTTTAAATACCTCAATATAGTCAGTTACAATGTCCTGAATTTCATCAATGCCATCAATTGCAAGCACACCATTATTTCATGTACCGCTAAGAAAGAAAAATCATTTCCTTGTCAAATCATCATGTAATATTATTGAAGACATTTTAAATAGAAAATAAACTCAACAACGAACATAATTTAACCAAAATGACTACAATGTGAGCAGCTATTACCAAGTTCATGCATGCAGAGATTATGATAATTACATCAAAACGGCTGCCTAACAACAGTGATTTTAAGACACCATTGATTCGAAGATGCATCCAGAATTCAGGTTATAATTTGAAAAAGAATAGTGTGCCCTTCAGAATGGGTGAAATTTGATACATGGGCTTATTAGTTTTTATGCATCCCCTAGGACAGGTTAGTTATGACTGTAGCATTGTGATAGGAAGTACACACATACATACTCTAGGGTGATTAATTGGTATTGAAAAGACTCTCATCAGGATCTAGAAGGGCTACTGTGAGGTTCAGCTAACTTCCTCTCCAATCAACACCAGTGGTCTTGTAAATTAGCATGACTGATGGTAAAATGATTTCTCACTGCTTAGATATGTCAAGATATATGGATTCACTAGAAATAGTGTGTAGACACTCCCAAATCTTTCATGGACAGATGAGAAGAATAGAATAATGTTCCATCTTAAAATCAGTAAGGTGGATCAACCAATATGCATCCTCAGGTGTGATGCAGCATAAGATACACAACATCATCATGTGTTCTAACCAAAAAATAGTTAACTCGAACCCACCGAGTCTTTAAAGATAGCCTCTATTTTACAAGAAATAAAGAAAATTAGTGAACAAGCTGGAAAATGTGACAATGAAGAAAGTAGACAAAACTAGTAAGACTCTACAGAACCACTGGTCTAGTCTCATCAACAAGCCAAAGCCCTAAAAAAAGTGACTGTGATAGATTTTTAAAAAATAAAAAGGACCTAAGAAGTATTGGATTGTCGGAAAAGTCATGATGCAATTTTTGTGGTGAAAAACATAGAAAAAATACGTCATGACTTTTCCGACAACCTGATAGATATAACCTGTGGCCCTTTAGAGTACTAGTTTGGAGAAACCACCTATAAAGGGCATTTTGGGGTTAACTGGGGAAATGTTAACCTAGTCTGCAAGGGTGGAAATTGCTGAACTGAAAAACAGTAGGTTGCAAAATACCATAAACTCATTTGGGTAAAAATGCAAATGTGTGTGGGTGTGTGTATACATGAACACAAACACTCACAGAAAGATCCAGGAAAAGATGCACTCATACTAATAGTAGCAATTTTTAGATGCTGGCAATAGAAAGCTTCTAACTGTTTTTCTGTATATTCTACTCTCTACAATGTGTGGTATTGCTTCTGAAATAACAGAAGTGTTATTACAAAAATAAGAAGACTCCAGTAAACCTATAGCCCACACCCTTTAGAATGGTTGTCCAGGCCTAGGATTACACAAGGGGCTTGTATTTGGGGATTCTATCACAGGATTTTATTGCCTACTACTAGACTTATCAAGGGGGTCACTTCATAAATTATATAAATGTCTATCCGTTATGCTATATACCTGAAACTAATATAATATTTAATGTCAACTGTAATTGAAAATTTAAAAAAAATGTAAGTAAATTCTTTCAGCCCTAAATACTTCAGCATTCATCTCCAAAGAACAAGTGTGCTGTCCTACAAAACCACAATAACATTTTCACACCTAAAAAATTTACAATAGTTACATGCCATCTAATTTCTAGTCCCTATTCACATTTTTCAAATGTTATGCAAACATTTCTTTTCTAGCTAGGTTTTCCAAATCTAGATCCGATCCAAGTTCACACACTGTATCTGTTTATGTTTCTTTAATGTCTTAATGTGGAACAGTACCTCTACCTCTTTTTCAAGGGTGTTGACTTTTTTGAACGGTCCAAGCCAGTGTGTCTTACAGAATATCAAATATTCTGTATTTTTCTATACCCTGCATCCTGTCAACTGGAAAAGCTTCATTTCCCGGGTTAAACATTTTTGACAAAACTATTGGGTTGTCAGAGGAGTCATGATGCATTTTTGCAACGAAAAACGTAGAAAAAATATGTCATGACTTTTCCGACAACCCAATATTTCAGTTTATGTTGTGTATTCTTACTGTACCCTATCCCAAGGCACATAAGTTCAGTTTGTACCATTATTAGGAGTGCTAACTTTCATCAGTCAATTAAGGTGCTGTGTGCTTACCAGCTAGCTTGACTGTAAAGAAACATTTTTTTCTTTTGCAATTAGTAAGTGATCTGTGGGTAATACATTCAAATGTGTGAGTATCTTGTTCCTGAACAATCTTTCACCAAATGATTTGATCCATGCCTAAAACAGGGCACAGAGGTTGCAAACCAGTAGTTTTTCTAATTCTAGCATTCCTCCTCCTAGCTGGCATTCTTCTGTAATGAAGAGCTTTCCTGATTCTACCTACTTCCCATAAATTTCTATTTATTCAAAGTGTTATAGTTAAAAACAATATTTATTGTTTTTGATGTTCGGGCTGCCTGCCCTGGATGTAATCAGTGTCAGCCTTTTTAGGCAGGTCCCTCTGTTCTTGTAGTCCATCACCAGGCCTACTCTGGAATGCTGCTGTCTGTTCTGACCTGCCACACCCAAGTAAGAAGTTGACCACAATCTTAACAATAACTCCCATCTCCTGAGAACCTCCTATGTGCCATGCAGTTGACCTGTGTTCATTGAAATCCACACAACAGTTCTGCATGGTAGGCAATACTATCCTAATTTTACAGATGACCAAACAGAGGCTAAGGGAAGTTTGCCTAAGATTATATAGCTAAATAAGTGGTAGAGTTGGGGTTCAAAACCAGGGTCATCTGACAGCAAAGCCTGTGTTCAGTGCACTGTACCTGATGTCACCCCTCAACTCCTCAAATGAGATACCTGATGACTCTGGAAGGATATGCAGAAGGGTCCAAGTATCATCACATTCCTCACGGAGCACTCAGCGTGCCCAGGATGAAGCAGTTGAGGGCTGGGACTTAATGAGGGGCAGCACTACCATGTGGGCCAGTCCCCTAATAGGAACTCTTCCTGAAGCCCCAGAAGTTACTTACTTGACCAAGTGTCTTATAAGAAGTTCCAGCATCTCTCGGTTCTTTTCTGGTAGCTTATATACCAAGGAGTGAATGGCACCCAGCCGGTAATCCAGGTTGTCAGACTCTGAGAGAGAACAGAGAGAGAGAGTTTTGCTTTCTGGGCAATTGGGTCAAGCAAACCCTCACACGCACGCGCATGTACACATGAGAGGGAGACAATCAGAGACACCGAGAGTGTTAGAGAGATGTAAAGAGACAGAGACCTAAATGGGCATGGAGACATGGTGGCAAAAAGAGACCAAGAAATAAAGGCACCAAGACAAAGAGAGAGAAAGATGACAGAACCAAAGGCAAAAAGAGAGATAAAAACAAGGAAGTAGGCCTGGAAAGATGAAGAAAATAGGAGAGGAGAAAGATGAGAAGACTGTCTCCGAGGAAGTCAGAATTCTGGGTGCAGCAATTTGCTCCTAAAGTTCCCCATGTAAAGTTCCAGCTGGAAACCCTTGCCCACCCACCATCCTTGTGGTACCGGGAGGTACCCTACTGCCTGTGGGTTCCTGCAAAAATCACTGAGATGGCTCAGAGTAAAAATCCAAGGGATCTTGCCTCGAAGAAGACTCATGATGAGGGCAAGTCCCCTGAATCTTCTTCCTGCCCACCGTGCAGGCACGATGCAGGAGAAGGGTCATGTTGAGGTTGGCGGGAAGACTCCTACCATAGCCTCCTCAACCCATCCTTCTCAGGCTTCTTCAGCTGCCAATGTTTGGGGTGATTCTATATGCCTTATTTCCCATGCACCTCTCCACCCTCGCCTGCAGTTTTATAACCTAGAAAACGTGCTGCTAACGCAAAAAGAGGAGGAGTGATGATTCACAATACAATTGAAAAGCATTTGAAAAGGCAATGTGCTGGGGAAAAGCTGAAACAGCAACTATAATGGAAGCACTGCGCTGTCCCATGCTAGTGTGAGCCAGCATTCTTGCTTTGGTAGAAGGGGACAATCGATCAAGAAAGTCCCCATCCATCACCTGCCTCATGTTAGCCAATTTTCTCCAACCCACTCAACTAACACTGATTTGTGAAAAACAATACGTTTGGTAGTGGATAAACTCAGTGTGTCTTTTTGTATTCCCCTCAATTAGTTCCCCTGAAGCAGTTTTCTAGACTTATCGCTGTAAACATTATGAAGAAGCTAACACCACTAACTAGTGGCAGAAATACTTACTGGCAGCAGAGACCAGTTCTTTGTGCAGTCTATAGGTCATGACAGGTTCAGAAAGATTCCTGAAATTAAGGAAAATGGTAAGTTCCTTTGGGAAGCGGGTAGCCAGGCCTCACATTCTCAGCTCTGTGGGCTGCAAGGCTTCTGAGTCCCACAGCTTCGTGTGATTACATACATTTCTCTCTTCACCAGAAACTTTCTCAGAGGAATCCTATTTGCTAGTCATTCAACAGAAGACCTGCATGAGTGTGGCCGAGACCTCGATCAACGTCTCCAATTCCTTCCCCCAGATGAAAAGAGGCACAAACCAATCCTGCCAAATTCCAAGTGGGCCCCCAATGAATGCTACTATGAAGTCCTTCAGTCTGACGGTTCCTGAGTTTCCAGAGCACTTTCACATCTGTCCTCCCATTGGATCCTTCCAGCGATCTTCTGAGGCGTAGCAGTTATTCAAATCCCCATTTAACAGAGGAGGAAACCGAGGCTCAAATAGGTTTATTTAGTCAAAAAATATTGATTGAGCACCTGTTTGTACTGGGGATCCAGAGATAAACATGATACAGTCCAAACCTCCAAGGAGCTAGTGGTCTAGCTGAGGAGAGTGCCATATACAAAATTTGCAATGCAATTGGACAAGTATGATGATAAAATAAAGGTAGGTGGTGGGTGGCTCAAAGGAAGGAAGTAATCCAATAATAATAATAATAATAATAATAATAATAATAGCAGCAAACTCTTCACTGTTCTAAGTGATTTACATACATTTACTCATTTAATCCTCATAACCTGAGAAAGAAGTTATTGCTGTTATCTCCATTTTATAGATGAGGAAACTGAGGTGCAGGGAAGTTAAATAATTCACTCAAGGACACACAGCTAGTAAGTGCAAAACTAGGCAGCCTGTCTCGAGTCCATGCTCTTAACCACTATGCTATACTGCTTGCCACTGTTACTACTGTAGTAATCCAGGTGAGAGATAATAAAGGCCTAAACAAAAATTGTGGCCTTAGGGGTAGAAGGAAAAGGTGAGGAGACTTACTTGAAAGACATTAAAGACAGAATTCCTTCAATGATTGGGTATGTTGGTGAGAGAGAGAGAGTAACCTGGTTTTGGTGAGCGGATAGAAATTGATTCAGAGGGAAGAGGAGATGCTAAGTCAGAGGGGCCTCTGGGATAGCCAAAGGGAGACATCCATTAGGAAAATGGATGGAGTGCCCTTGTAGATCTGATGAGCAGATATGGAAATCCTGGACCTGGGAGGGTGGTAAAAACCTGGGGAACAGGTACCACTGCTCAAGGCGAGATAGCCACTTGGCAGCCAAAGCTTCCTTGAGGCCTTCCAACAGGTCTTATTTGTCCAGAATAGCATATAAACAAGAAATGGATTGAATCAGTCATCAGAACATGCAAGATTGAGATATTTCACCAGAAAAAAAATCCATATTTTCTACTTCTATTGAAAAACTGAAAGATCTGGCTACATTGGGCCCACGGGGTTATTTGGGGAAGAATATTGCTGTTTATTTATAAACAAAGAGATTGCTGTGCAAACAAAGGTTCCCTGCCATATGTTTAATATGAAAGCAGTCCACTCCACACTCATTTTCATGTCCTGGCCCCTGCGGATATTTAAACTTCCCCAACTCTCCAGTGGAGTAAAACGAGAGGAGAGCCCTGGAAACAGAAGGCCCGTAAAGGGGACTGCTAAAAATGGTCAGAGGTGGGAGAAAATCCAAAAGCAAGTGAAAACAGAATCCAAAAGAGGAGAATGTTTCAAAATGGGCTTTTGAACAGCTTCAAACGCTACAAAGAGGTCAAGTGAGGTAGACTGCCGATAGTCTGCTGCACTTGGCATTGACAGACAGAGTCACTGGTGACCTTGCCAAGAGCGGCTTCCGTGTGGCGGAGAGGGTGGGAGTCAGATTACAGTGGGTTAAAGAGCAAACTGGGGGAGGTTAAGTACCCACAGGGAGGGTATATTACTTCATACCCTGAAGTTTAGTTGGGAAAGGGGTGAAGTACTTCTTTCATTAGGCAATCTCATCTAAGCTCCTGCCTCCAGCTATCATCTACTCTGCCAGCGATTCTCATTTTTTAGCTCAAGCTCAGAACTCTTCACTGAGTTCCATTCCTACATATTTATTTCCCATAGAGCCAATTGCCTGCTTAACATTTTGCCCTGACTTCTTCAAAGACACCCAAATGTGACATAGGCAAAAACCTAACTTGTCACCTCCCTCAAACCTAGTATATTTCTTGTGTTTCCCAAATCAGTAAATGCATGACCATCATTGCGTTGTATGGGCCAGAAACGTGGAAGTCATTCTTTTGTCTCCTGTCCCCCACCCTCATATCCAATTTTACTCCCTAAATGTCTCGAATGTGCTTATTCTACTGATCTCCACGGCTCCTTCCTGGTCCGAGGACAGCAGCAACAGCCTGCTATTTGGTTCCCATCTCTCCCTATTTGCCTCCCTCTAATCTGACGTCTCTCTCTAGATATATTATTTTCAAAATACAAATTTTATCATGCAACCTCCTACTTAAAATCCTTCAATATAGTCCCATTCCTCTTAAGATAAATCCAGACCCCAGTTCTTGCAATGTCCTCTAAGGCCTTGCGTGATCTGGTCCCCACATTTGTCTCCCTCCCTCTCTATACTCAATACTCCACCCATACTGGTACATGTGGTTTCCTGAAGGGGTTTCCTTCCTCTTGCTTCAGGCCTTTGTATATATGGTTCTGTCTGTAGCAGCCTCCCCCCAGTTGACTTCAAGTTGAAATTCACACCTCAGTTCAAAACACAACCAGAATAAGTCAGATATTCCCATTATTTGCCTTCACAGCACTTTGTACCTTTCTTTCAGAGCACATATTCTAGTTTGTTGTATTTGTATCATTATTTCTATTTTTGTCTGCCTCCCTCACTGGCCCACAGCCTTTTTACAGGCAGTGACCACATCTACTCACAGCTGTATGCCTACTACTTAGCGATATGCTAGACTTAGAGTAGGCACTCAGAAAATGTTTACTGAATGATTTAGTGAATGGTGGATTGAATGAAAGAAAGAAGGCACAAGGCCAAGGCGAAGTGTACTACGGAAGCATATTATATGCTGAGAAGAAACAGCCAGTTGAACGTGAGAGGTTCAAGACACAGGACAGAGAAGGAATGGTTTTTAGAGTATTTTTCTGGAAATGGTGGTGACAAAGGGTGAGTTAGGTACCTAGAACACAGAAGGAGGAGACCCGCTCTGAAAATACTGACATCTTTGAGAAATCTGAAGGGTGTTGGCTGGCTAGTGCATAGTAAGGCCCATGGATAAGAGTCTTAAGGACTACTGTCTCTTATTGGGGGGGGGGCTTTCTGTCTACTCACACTTTTGGGGTCCATCTACCCATCTTTCAAAAGGGCCACACTGTTTATTATGGGAAGAGCTGGGAAAGATGTGAGATGTGAGAAGGGACTTAAGCTATATAAGTCTTTGGAAAAAATTGACTGCTCTGAAGAGACTAGAGACAGAGCATTTCCTCTCAATATTCTCATCATCACAAGTCCTGAAAGTATACATAGCAGATTGTGTTCTGTCTTTATGAAATTACGCAAACAACTTCGAGAAGGCCACATTCCCTGAGGGTAAGGAATATGGGAATAAGACAGTCCAACAAGTGGCCTGACAAGTCAGAGATACTTAGGTTCAAATAATACGAGCGGTGACCATGGATGTTACTTAAGAGGGGAGAGAGTGCGCTTCAATTTCCTCATCTGTAAAATGAGCATAGTACCACCTACTTTACAGGGTTATTATGAGACAAAGAAACAATTATGTTGTCACTGCAAGCAATTAGTACACTGCCTAGCACAGAATTAAACCCTCTAACAACAGTACCTTTCTTATTTGGCAGATGTTGGAGAAATACTTAGGAAAGAGTATTCATGTTTATAAAAAGTTCTAGGATGATCCTATAGCAGAAGGTCATTTAACAGCAATATCTGGGACCCAATCTATTGTATTCTGGATTAATATTTCCCAGAGCTTAAGTATCTATCTTAATGTCTAAAAAGTACAATACTTGAAAAGAAAACATTTTAGCACATGACGTATGGTATATACTAAGGGACACTGAGTGGGTTTAAAACGTATGTATGTAACAAATATTTTACAGTATAAATTTATGCCAATAAACTGAATGATACATTCATCATCATTGTGCATCCCCAAATTTTGCTGGTAACTTTTTCTTCCTACTGCTGCCACTTCATTTAGCTCCAGCACTTCTATGGTTGTATTTCCTTGATGTTTTCCCCACTATACCGATTAAAGCATGAGACATAAAACATCACACACACACACAAATACACACTGTTTGTGCAAATACAATTTACTATTTCAAAATGGTTATTATCCACCAAAAGATGCTAACAACCTTGAACTACCACAACTCCTGATTTTACGAATGAGCCCATTGTGACATCACTATCTCTGCACAATGGCAAAACTTCAATTATTTTAAGGGCATAATTTCAAAAACAAACTCCCTTCCCCCAAAAGAAAGCCATTTTTCAATAACAATTCTAGTATTTTGATGCTTTCCTTGCTTACATTCCCAGATTTTTAAAAAAATGTTGCCTAATGCACATTTTTCTTTAACAGAAATCCTTGTCAATCTTTTTTTCCTTAGCAATCCAATCCAATCTTCTGAAACTAGGACCACATCAACTCCCAACTCCAATCTTCATCCTGACAAATTTCATCAACTATGAGAAGCACAGTCCCAAATCATATCAGGCATACCTGAGGTAGAATTTCAAAGAGCTGGTGATTGTCTTAATGTCCCAGTCACTATTATGAAAATCAACATCTCCTGGGCATTTAGGATCTATACGAGAAAAGAAAATAAGAAAAAATAGTTAATGTTCCAAAAGACTTTATTCTGCATCCCTTTAAAATAAATATAAAGTGAATAAATTAAAACATAGTTACTCTAACCAGAGTTTTCAAGAGATGAAAGCTTTGTAACAAAAGTGTCTTGGACATCTCAAAAATTTCCCTGCGTTTATTTCAGTTGGGTATGTAAAGAGCTTGGAAAGTATATTTTCCATTCACAAAACAAGAAAAACAAGGGGACCAAACAGAAAATGAATTCCTTGGAGATCAATCAGAAGACTTGGGTCACATATAGGGCAAACTACCATCCCCAAAACTGAAGACACAGACAGGAAGATACAGAAAAATCTAATCTGTAATGGACAATTGTGAAAGGCTCGGTGTGGCCAAGTTTGAGAGTGAAAAATTCTAAGGGGACCAGTCCTAGAGACAATCCCACACTTTTGAGAGTTCTCCCTCCGGGAGCCCTATCAGGTTCTCACAGTGATGATCTGAGAAAAATGCCCTCATGTTTCCATGCTTCAGAGAGTAGGAGAGAAAAAGTAGCCTTTCAAAAAATATGCACAGAGCATTTCATTCCTCTTCACAAGGTCTACACTCAAGAGAAACTATTTTACCAGACCCTAATGTACCGGGGATTTATCAGAGCTTAACTGACCTAGGGAAAGGGAAATTCCCAACTACAGGCCACCTTGCCTTCTTTTCTCTTCTCATTGGAGAACCGAAACAAAACCGAGAAGCACTTGCAAAGGTCACAGGCCAGGAGCATAGACTCACTACAAGACTAAGGCATAATTATAGGACTGGAGAATGCTACCCCCCTCCTTACACCTTACAACACCTGCATAATAACAGGGAAATATGGCTAAGATAGCTACGCTTATCAGACAAAACTTAAGAAGTCTCTAGGGAAAACCAGGCAATGGGGGAAATAAAAACGAGGACACCAGAGGTAACTTTGCCCTCTGACACCTACAAATCCAGCACACAATAAACACAGGCTAAATCCTAGCCAGATAAACAAAACTTCACACTAAAGATCTATTTACCTCAGTTCCTTTTACCCATTACATCATGTCCAGCTTGCAATAAAAATTACAAGAGATACTAAAAAATCAAACAAAAAAAACCAGTTTGAAGAGACACAACATCAGAATAAGACTCAGATATGGCAAAGATGTTGGAAACAGACTGGGAATTTAAAACAACTATGATTCATGTGCTAGGGACTGTACTGGATAACGTGGACAACATAAAAGACAAGATTGATAATGGAAGTGGAGAGATAGAAGCTATAAGAAAGAACCCAAAGGAAATTCTAGAATGAAAACACCATAACAGAAAGGAAGAATTCCTTTGATGTGCTCATCAATGGACTAGACACAACTGAGAAAATAGTCAGAGAGCTTAAAGAAGTGTCAAGAAAAACTTCCAAAACTAAAATGCAAAGAGAAAAAAGAATAAAAAAGACAGAATATCCAAGAAACGAGGAGGAAATAACAAAAGGTATGACATCCATACATGTGATGAGAACATCAGAAGGCGAAGAAAGAGAAAAGGGAACAGCAGAACTATCTGAAGGGATAATGAGTGAGAACTTCCCAAAACTAATGATAAACACCAAACCACAGGTCCAGGAAATTCAGAAAACACCAAGCAAGATACATATCAAAAAAATAAGTGATACCTAGGCATGTCATATTCAAAGTAAAAATCAAAGACAAAGAAAAAAATCTTGATAGAAGCTGGAAGGGAGAAAAACACACACACACACACACACACAAAAACACCTTGCTAAAGAAGGAGCAAGGATAAAAACTACATCACGCTTCTCTTCAGAAACCACACAAGAAAGAAGACAGTGAAGTATTCAAAGTGTTAACAGAAAACAAGCCTGAATCCTGTACCCAGAGAAATTATCTTTCAAATGTGAAGAAGAAATACTTTCTCAGATAAACAAACATTGAGGAAATTTGTTACCAGTAGACCGGCCTTGCAAGAGACATTAAAATGTCCCTTAAAAGTTTTTTCTAGAGAAAGCTATATAGGTCAGTAATTCAGATCTACATAAAGAAAGAAAGAATAGGGCCGGCCGAGTGGCGTGATGGTTAAGAACTCGCTTGGGATGCCAGAGGGCCCCGGTTCGGATCCCACATAGGAGGGCCAGTGACACTGCCTTCGACAGCTAAGATGCTGAACAACAGCTCAACCTGGAGCTGGGCTGCCATGAGTCGCCGGCGGCGGCATAGGCTGCAGTCCCTGTGGCAGTGGGTTGCCATGGGCTACCGCGTGTAGCCGGCAGCCAGTGTGAGCGGCCAGCAGCCGCAGTGAGCGGCCGTCCAGAAGCCGGCAACTGATCTGCCTCGCCAGAGAAGAGCACAATGATGGTGCCAGCTTGGGCCAGTGAAGCAACGACCTCCACAACTAGATTGAAGAACAAAACGACAGCAACTTGTCTGTTCCCCTTCCCCCAATTCCCCAGCGCTGTTCCCCTCCCTGCAATTCCCCAATAAAAATCTTTAAAAAAAAAAAAAAAGAAAGAAAGAATATGAGAGGAGGAATAAATGATGGTAAATAAAACCTTTTATTTCTCTTATTCTTGATTGATCTAACAGGTAAATTTTCAAAATGATAGCAAAATGTATACAAGTGATTATAGCTTATGGGTAAGTGAAATGAATGACAATATTAAAAGAATTATAAGAATTAGAAAGACTCTGCTATAATGTACCACTACTTGTGCAGTGGTACAGTGTTATTTGAAAGAAGACTTGGATAAGTTGTAAATGTATGTTGCAAATGCCATGGGCAACCACTAAAAAGAAGTTTAATTAAAATAGTATAATTGATATGCTAACGGAAGAAAAAAACAGAATCTTACAAAATTCTCAAATAAGCCCAGAGAAGGCAGAAAAGAGTGGAAGAGAAAAACAGAAATAAAGAACAAGGACAATGACTAGAAAACAGTAAATGACAGGATAGATATGAATCCAAATATATCAATAATCACTTAAAATACCAATGGCGTAAACACACCAATTAAAAGACATAGACTAATTGTATTTAAAGAAGGACTCAATTGTACACTGTCTACAAGAAACCCACTTTAAATATCAAGACACATACAGAATAAAAATAAAGGAATAGAAAAAAATATACCATGCTAACAATCAAAAAGAAAGCTGGAAAAGCTCTCTTTATTTCAAATGAAGCAGACTTCAGATCAAGAATAATGATCAGGGATAAAGAGAGCTGTTACATAAAAGGATTAATTCTTCAAGAAGACATAACAATCCTCAACAGGTATATACATCAAACAACAAATAATCAAAATATGTGAGGCAAAAACTGATAGAACTGAAAGGAGATGAGTCCACTACTGCAGGAGACTTCAACATCCCTCTATCAGTAACTGACAGATTCAACAGGCAGAAAATCAGAAAGGATATCAATGAACTGAAAAGGTCCATCAATAAACTGGATCTAATTCACATTTACAGATTGCTTCATCCAACACAGTACATATTCATCTCAAGTCCATATGGAACATTCACCAAGATACACTATATTCCGGGCCATGAAATACACCTTAACAAATTTAAAGAATAGAAATCATGCAAAATCTGCTCTCAGATTATAATGAAATGAAATTAAAAAGCAGTAAAAGTCAGATATCAGAAAAACCCCAAAATACTTGGAGATTAAGCAGCACACTTCTGACATGTGAGTCAAAAAAAAAAATAAAGAAAGAAAGAAGTCTCAAGAGAAATTTAAAAATATTTCAAACTAAAAGAAAATAAAAACACAGCTTATAAAATCTGTGGGGCACAGCAAAAGCAATGCTCAGAGGGAAACAGGTAGCACTGAATACATATTGGGCTATCGGAAAAGTCATGATGTATTTTTGTGTTTTTCATTGCAAAACTGCATCATGACTTTTCCGACAACCCAATAAGTTAGACAAGAAGGAGGAGCTAAAAGCAATACTCTAAACTTCCACCTTATGAAACTACAAAAACAAGAACAAATTAAACCCAAAGGAAGCAGAAGTAAAAAACATGTTTTTAAATTAGAGGGCTCCAATGTTCATTGCAGCTTTATTTACAGTGGCCAAGACACAGAAACAACCAAAGTGTCCTTCGATAGATGATTGGATATAGAAGATGCGGTACATATATACAATGGAGTACTATTCTGCCATAAGAAAAGATGAAATACTGCCATTTGCAACAACATGGATGGACCTTGAGATTATTATGCTAAGCGAAATAAGTCAGACAGAAAAAGTAGAGAACCATATGATTTCACTAATATGTGGGATATAAAACTGAAAGCAACAGAGGAACAAGACAGATAAAGAAACAAAAACTGATAGACATAGACAATAGTTTAGTGGTTACCAGAGGGTAAGGGGGGAGGAGGGTGGTAGATGAGGGTAAAGGGGATCAAATATATGGTGATGGAAGGAGAGCTGACTCTGGGTGGTGAACACACAATGTGATATATAGATGATGTATTACAGAATTGTACACCTGAAACCTATGTAACTTTACTAACCATTGTCACCCCAATAAACTTTAATTTAAAAAAATTAGAGCAGAAATCCATGAAATTGAAAACAGGAAATCAAAAGAGAAAATCAACAAAACTAAAAGATGGTTCTCTGAAAAAATGAGGAAAACTGATAAAGCTCTTGGCAGGTTAATAAAGAAAGAAAAAGAGAAGAAACAAATTACTAATATCAGAAATGAAAGAGGGACATTGAAAGGAAAATAAAGGGATATTATGACGAGCTCTCCGCCTATAAATTTGATAACCTGGATAAAATGGACCAATTTCTCCAAAGACACACTCAACCAAAATTCACACAAAAAAAGAAATGGACAATCTAAATAGGCTGGTATCAGCAAAGACATTGAATCAATAATTAATAACCTGCCCAAACAGAAAGCACCAGACCCAGATTTGTTCACTGGTAAATCCTCCCAAACC